CTCTTTCCTAAAATAAATATACAAAAATATTTGTTATAATTACACCAGCTGTGGAAGACGATCTGCATTCAGCCTAATTTGAATTAACTATGCCAATTACCTTGTACTGTTGGACATGTTTAAAATGCAATTCAGCTGAAAGCAATCCAAAGGTTTTATCTGCTTTTAAACAAATAAATGCAAAATAAATGAATAAACTTTGTTCAGCTAAATCTTTCTCGTCCAGTCAGTGTCATGTGTTCTTGTCTCCTTACGGCTACTTCCTTCTGTTTCCGCCGCCGTTAGCTAGAATCATCACCAGTCGCATGAAGATGTTGAGCGTGTCCATGTAAATGCCCATACATCTGGAAGAGCAGGAGCAGCGATGTTAACAGACGCCAGTCATACTGTGTGTTTAAATGATAGAACGATTGAATTAAACGAAACACATTACAAATGCACAAAGCCGACTTTTAAATCTAAAATAAAGTCATGTGAAGTAATACAAACGTTTGCCCACAGAGAACACTTACGCATTAATGGGGTCATATTTCTGAACGCCGTAAAGAGGGTGTGTCTCGGCACGCTTGATGACTTTCTGTGTGTCATACAGCAGAAACATGCTGAACAGGACCAGACCTCCATAAACCGCCACCGAGTACAGACCGGCCCCGAATGCAGAGGTGGGGGGCAGAAACATGGAGCCTGCAGAGAGGAGAGAGCAGAAGAAACTCCTGTGAAGTCTGTAGGATTAAACAGCCACACAGTCTGCGGCGGACTGTAAATGCATCTCACCCAGAGACGAGGCGAACACCACGCCGAAGCCCACGGCCAGCGGGCCGCCCAAGCTCAGGAACTTCTCGCTCGGCGCACACATGGCCACCGTCGACAGACCGCCCACGATTCCTGCGGTGTACCAGGCTGCTCGAACCATCAGCGGGCCACCCAGCAGAGTTAAGGGAGCGATGACGGCTCCCATCACACCTGCACACGACGTCATGAGCACCAGAGAAACATTAGCAGTGCTAAACTAACCCAGCAGAAGCACAAACGCAGACTGCAGTGCCCTCTGGAGGTCAGTTAAAGCAGTGAAAGCACTTTACCTGCGTGTAGAGCCCAGGCCAGGTGTTTCGGCATCGGACTGTGTTCGTACGAGATCGACCTCACCAGCATCCCGGCGCCAATCATAGCAGCGAACGTGGCGCCAATAGCCTGCGGATCGTTCATAAGGTTGTCACAGCATTAAACATCAATGTGAATATTAAACTACAAGCTGGATCATTACTATAATCACTATACGGTAGTACGCTATACAGTATATCATTTCTATCTGCCTTACAGTACGTTTTGTTGATTTGTTGTTATGAAGAGTGTATGTAAAAGGCGATGAATAAAAAGCAGTATGATCTCTAGCGTACCAGCCAGGAGCCCCTCATCACGAGTCCCATGAGCGCCGGTGTCCTGCTGACCGCGACGGCCGAGAGCGCCGTCAGACCCACGCTGCCCGCGAAATACATGTATGTAGAGTGGATCCTGTCCTTCACATACTGCGGCCAGATCCTGCAAACACAGCTTCAGTCTGCATCAAGCACAAAGTGTTCCTGACATGACTTCAGATGACTGAATATCTGCAATACAAGCGTGTATGTTGACAGTCAGTCGCTTTCAATCCAGCTCACGGTCGAGCTGATCCTAACAGATCCCATGAATCACATTACCGTACCACGAAGCTGTTAAACGGTAAAGCGAGAAGTGAAACGTGTCGGCCTTCCTCTAGTTCCTTGACCTGAACTCTGGGATGTTAACTCAACAGAAACTTCGGAAGAGATAGAAATTCACTGCTTTGCAGTCGATCAGACTGATCTGATTAAACCGGTTATCACTGAGATTACAAAACAAAAGTCGTATGCCGTCTGCAAATCAGACAAGAGCCGCTGAATCAACGACTAGTTCATTCTTAACAATCGGATCACAGGTGAATCTAATTTCTTTTGTGCTGCTGGCATAATCAGAACCTTTATTTCATTTAAAGTGTTTGATGTAAAGGTGATTCTTACACTGCTTTCTCGATGGCTCCCATCTCGTTGGACATGCCTAATCCGTAATAACACAAAGCTCCGAGTCCAACAGCGGCGCCTCCAGCGAGGACGATCCGGCCCATGCTGTCGACTGCAGAGGACAGAATCACACACACACGTCATCGGTCTCATGGGGAGTCTTTTAAAAGGGGCCATACATAATATCTTTTACTTAGAGTTTGAAGCTTTAGAGACTCAAACATGGATTTGTTACATAACGTTCAGACCTGGCACTATCATCCGTCGCAGGTGATCCGATCACAAGCACCACATACAGCTGAGAACAGCGTCTAGAACATTTTGGACTAATTACTTTCAACAAAGTTAAGACTAATATTTTCCCTCCACAATCCAAAGACACACAGAGCAGCTGCGAGTCTGAACGTGTGTGTTTGTCCTGATCCGTCCAGAGTTTCCTGGACAAGAGGTTTGTTAAATGGATGGATGGACCAACATTTTTGACAAGAACAAAGTGTCTGGCAGTCATTTGCCATCTTGATTTTATCACAGCGGAGTGATCGCATCACCGAAACGGAGCCAGAAACAAGAATTTGACAGAAATAAATAAACGTGGAGAAAACTCTTTATAAAAGGACATGTTAACAGAATTCACTTTTAATTGCGGTGTCTGTAGCAGGTTGAAACGCTGCCTCCTGAACTTGCTCTCTGGAAGTCTTGCTCCGGCGGAATCCCAGTCTAGTCCTGGTGGAATAACCCTGATTGAAAACAACAAAATACAACAGAACATAAACAAAACACACAGTACTGCGCTCGACACGCACAGCAGTCCAGCAGTCCAGCAGGTGCAGTGCGGCTCTTCTGAGGGTACCTGCTGCGGTCTGATCAGGGCTGGACTGGACTTCATCAGGCCCCCAGGAGCCGGACTCAGGGCCGAGCGGAGCCCCAGCGCAGGGCCGCTCCGCAGACACGACAGGCGTGAGACCCACATCACTGACCGCTTCTGTGTAGAAACAGTGCAGCATTGCGTGAAGCGGAGTGAACAAGAGAAGAGGAAGATTTTACGCCACTAACTTACAAACTCATGAACAAGCAGAGGATGTTCAGTACTACGAACGTTTCATTTGCCTAAAAATGAGTCCAGCGAGACGCAGAATAATCCCGTAAACATTTACACTTCACCTGTTGTAAAATATTATACTTAGAAGTAAAACTCACCCGTTGGTTTGTTAACTAATTTCAGCTTTGCGATGCTTCTTCTCCCCTGACGCAACACAGCACACACCTTCCTGAAGGTTCCGGGGTGTGACGTCACACTCCGGCGACAGCCACGCAATGCACTATGGGTCTTGAAGTTTGGACTTCAGCTTGGGAACGCGTTCTACGTTTGGTAACTTTTTTAGAATTCGCTTTCGTTTATTCTATTTTTTTTTATGATTAGTCACAAACTAGAAAAAGACTAAATAAACAAAGTAATGGTCGGCTACTGTCAAGACTGAACAATAATACATTTGAAATGATTTATAAATACTCAATTTTATAACAATTGTCTTTGTTTTGATCGTTCACGAACAAAAGCAAACAGCCATATCATTACAACAATTTACAAAGTATTTGTAAAATGTATATTCTATTCAGATCTAAATAACATGTTTTAAAAGAGACTATTGGGCTAAATATAACTTAATTAAATAAAACATAGTACTTAAACGTCATATAATATTTTAAAAAATTAAACCTTTTTGAGCCTTCTACAATGTGAATGATATTGCATTATTCTAATAAACAGTATTGAGTAAATGAGTCTGTTATGTGCAGGAGAAAAGGCTGTGGTAGCTGGTTATATCATCTATATATTATGTCTGTCTGTCTAATATACCTTGGAGCGCTATAGCACTGACAGTCAACAACGAGAGAGCTTCCATCAAGGAGTGGAGAGGACAAAAGAGGTCTTTAATGTTCAGATTACCTGTAGGAAGACATTACAGATAAAACATTGAGTTGACATTGGTAGTTGCTTTAAACAATAGAAACATTAAGAAAAACAAGTTTCTCTACAGATCCTAATTTTACTGGAACTGATTCTGTTTGAGAGTACGGGTGTAACGGTACACAAATATGGCGGTTCGGTATGATTTCGGTACATGTGGGGAGACTAAACTTAAAAAAAAAAAATAAACAGTGGTTTACTGAACAAGTTGCTCTTTCTTTAAATACATTCAGTTAGTTCACATTTTCTTAGTGATGATTAAAATAAAAAATTCCCCCTACCTCAGCTTATGCTTAAACCTATAGGAAGCCTTTTAACATAAGGTTACAATTAGGCCTAACAAATGTAACCCAAACTTAATTTAAATAGAACAAAAAAAATAAATAAAATTAGGCTATTTATTCAAATATATTCAATTACACACTGGCTGTTTGTTAGAAAACACTCTTTCTGTTGATTCCAGACATACCTTACTCCTCCTTTTTCTCCCTCTCTCTCATTCTTATATACACAACGCATTCTCTCTGAATCCCCCCTTCTGTATCCATCTCTCTCTCGATATTATGTTTTAAATATGTCTTACTTATATGCGAGGTATGCATGCTTAAATGTATACATTAGCTTCTCTTGATTTAAAGGCCCCAATAAGGACATGAATGTTAGGACTACAAGGGTAAAGGAGTTCGTGATGAAACCATGAAGACAGTTCAGCATTCTTCGCAAAAGTCTATTCCTAATATGTCCATGTTTTTCTGTACATGTGGCTCTTTTATATAAACATGTTCTTGGCCAAAGATCCTACGTGTATGTTATTCATATCCTCATTGGTTAAGAGGATGAAACTCCCCTCGACATATGCCTATATAATATCTGTATTTCTATGAATAAATTGAAGTATTGAGGATACATTTGACTGCGTTTTCTTACTTCCCGGCCGTCTATCTACACTTTAAAGTAACTGAGAATTCTTCAAGGTGGCAAAGAGAATTTACTGAGGGACCAAATTGTTATTCTTTATTAACACTGTCATAATAGGTTTCACAACAGATTAATTTAAACATACAATAAATAAGACTAATGGCCTCTGGCTTGCTTAGTTGGGGACACTTCATTTCCAGCGTTATCGTTGACATGATTACAAAGATATTATTTAAACTGAACTGAGCTGGATGTTGACATCACTGAATTCAATGATGAACTGTCTTTAACTGAAAAATTAGTGTTTACTATTGTCATTTTGCATTATTGACACTATTTTCCTAATTAATGCGGTTCAGTTGCTTTGTCACAATCTGTATTGTTAAAAGCGCTATATAAATAAAGGTGACTTGACTTGACTAACAGGTTTGTGAGGCGTGAGATGTTCAGTCACTGTAAGACTAGTAGTACAGAGGAAGGAATAATCGGGTTCCCTCGCCCTCCGCTCTGCCATTTACACTGCACAAGTCTGTGGCACGTCACTGAATTCAATGATGAACTGTCTTTAACTGAAAAATGAGTGTTTACTATTGTCATTTTGCATTATTGACACTATTTTCCTAATTAATGCTGTTCAGTTGCTTTGTCACAATCTGTATTGTTAAAAGCGCTATATAAATAAAGGTGACTTGACTTGACTTGACTAACAGGTTTGTGAGGCGTGAGATGTTCAGTCACTGTAAGACTAGTAGTACAGAGGAAGGAATAATCGGGTTCCCTCGCTCTCCGCTCTGCCAAGGAGTGGAGAGGACAAAAGAGGTCTTTAATGTTCAGATTACCTGTAGGAAGACATTACAGATAAAACATTGAGTTGACATTGGTAGTTGCTTTAAACAATAGAAACATTAAGAAAAACAAGTTTCTCTACAGATCCTAATTTTACTGGAACTGATTCTGTTTGAGAGTACGGGTGTAACGGTACACAAATATGGCGGTTCGGTATGATTTCGGTACATGTGGGGAGACTAAACTTAAAAAAAAAAAATAAACAGTGGTTTACTGAACAAGTTGCTCTTTCTTTAAATACATTCAGTTATAGTTCACATTTTCTTAGTGATGATTAAAATAAAAAATTCCCCCTACCTCAGCTTATGCTTAAACCTATAGGAAGCCTTTTAACATAAGGTTACAATTAGGCCTAACAAATGTAACCCAAACTTAATTTAAATAGAACAAAATAAATAAATAAAATTAGGCTATTTATTCAAATATATTCAATTACACACTGGCTGTTTGTTAGAAAACACTCTTTCTGTTGGTTAAACATACTGTACATTAAGTAATTAAGACTAACAGGTTTAGTAAAATGTAATGAGTATATCATGGTGTAATATTTCGCAAAATGCTCCTCTCTAGACTTCATTTCTCTAGTGAACTAACGAGCTGTGGACACTGACGACTTGCTGAGGTAAATTAAATGCTACGTGACTTTTATTTCCACGCTGTTTTGTTGATGTCTTTCCGCAGTTGACACACTGATTGAACAATTACATGAGGCATGAGATGTTCAGTCATGTTTATTCGTGGCAAATCTAGTAGTACAGAGGAAGGATTGATCGCGTTCCCTCGCTCTCCGCTCTGCCATTTACACTGCACAAGTCTGTGGCACGTTACGGCTCGACACAGAACCAGAGCTGATCACGGCCGCTCTAGTCAATGCTTGTGTTGGGTTTATACCAGCACGTTTCTGAACCATCCCAGAAGCGGCTCTCCAAGGCGTTTATACAGCGATCTGTCAAAACACCAAATACAAAAAAACCTGTATTTTGTTCGGTACACATGCGTACCGAACCAAAAGACCCGTACCGAAACGGTTCAGTACGAATATGTGTACCGTTACACCCCTAAAGTGAAAGTATTGCGTTGCTCATGTTAGGCTTGACTGAGACTTCGATTCGACCAGAGGACAGAGTGTGGCTACAGCTGGAATAAGGTCAGCTTTGAGACAATCAATAGTATCAATCAGACAAAAATCTAAACATGCTGAGACATAACAGACATGCTGAGTGTGTTAACTCAAACATACAGTCACAAGAGGTAAATAAACAAACGAGCAGTTATCAATGCAGCCATGAATGAACCATCTCTGAAACTCTTTAGTGTGCACATCGTCAGATGGATCTAAATTTCTGTCAGTAAGTTTGGGGGCACCCCATCTATCTGATATCTGAGCTTAGGTTAGGTAAAATCTATTGGAGGACTCTTAACTTGCCAGGTGTTGGTAAGAGCTCCTTTGGCACGGTCAGATGTTTTTAATACCAGACTTAAGCGACTGTTGACCATTTGAGATGACATTTTAAAATGGACATTTTCTGCATATGATGTTATAGCATAAAAACACATTTACTCATCAATTCCAGTTTGTACAGTTCACCACAACATTGAGAATGTTGAATATCAAGGGTTTAACAAAAATAAAATAGCACTTTACTCAGATTAATCACATGCACAGCAATGCTTTGAAACTTCGACCAGAGGACAGAGTGTGGCTACAGCTGGAATAAGGTCAGCTTTGAGACAATCAATAGTATCAATCAGACAAAAATCTAAACATGCTGAGACATAACAGACATGCTGAGTGTGTTAACTCAAACATAGTCACAAGAGGTAAATAAACAAACGAGCAGTTATCAATGCAGCCATGAATGAACCATCTCTGAAACTCTTTAGTGTGCACATTGTTAGATGGATCTAAATTTCTGTCAGTAAGTTTGGGGCGCCCCATCTATCTGATATCTGAGCTTAGGTTAGGTAAAATCTATTGGAGGACTCTTAACTTGCCAGGTGTTGGTAAGAGCTCCTTTGGCACGGTCAGATGTTTTTAATACCAGACTTAAGCGACTGTTGACCATTTGAGATGACATTTTAAAATGGACATTTTCTGCATATGTTATAGCATAACTTGCATAAAAACACATTTACTCATCAATTCCAGTTTGTACAGTTCACCACAACATTGAGAATGTTGAATATCAAGGGTTTAACAAAAATAAAATAGCACTTTACTCAGATTAATCACATGCACAGCAATGCTTTGAAACCACTGCATTTGGTAAGCATCCACAATTTAAACCATTATGTTTCAACACTGCTCAGAAGCAAATAAATACACAAATAAATCTATACAAGCATAGGTGGGTGAATTTCTGGCTATTACTCACCCATTTCCAACAATGACGAAGCATTTGAAACTGCAATTAGCTATTAATCCTCAAACGCACGGACCATTTGTGAACAAAAATAAACAAGTTCCTTCAGAATGTGCCAGCATTGAGTCCTAACTGAAATTGATAAATAAATAAACAATAGTGAATCTGAAACAGTTATGGAAATATACATTCACAATACATGCTGAATACTCTCCTCTGAGATGGTTTCTCTTCATGCAGCTCTTTACATCTGTGTCACACACTCAAACTGCACATGCAGACAAAAACTCAGCTGCTTATAGCTTTCTAGAAACCCTTAGACCTTGATTAGCTGGTTCAGGTGTGTTTGATTAGGGTTGGAGCTGAACTCTGCACGACTGAACCACCCCATGTGTTAGATGTTTTAGTACCATTAAAATCACAGTTATATAAGCAAGGTAGTGATGTTACTTATGACACTGAAGCTTCTAAGCGTGTATCGAGTACGCAGCGCAATTTCTCACAAAGCTCTGTGCAGGAGCGCGTATTGTTTTCAGAGAATCACATGATCAACGAAAAATTAAACCTCACTTTCTTTCCAATCATGTGCGCATGTCGGAATGTTCCCCCCAGATCTTACTTTACTTTACATAAGTTTTCATTCAGACTTATTCAATTAAATACCCAGTTATACAAGTAATATGAAGAATAAAAATTATTTCAGAAAAAAAACTAAATATTTGCCATATGCAGTGCATATATTTGTGCATTATTCTTCTATTTCATTGTTTCTATTTTTATATATTCAAATAGAAAATAGTTATTTGAAATAGCCTAGTAAAAATATTTCAAAATGTTACTGCTTTCCTGTACTTTGGATCAAATAAATGCAGGCTTGATGAACAATCTTACTGTTCAAAAACTGTTGACTGGCAGTGTATAGTCAACTTTCCAGCCTGCAGTCCATATCTTTCACCCATAGAAAACATTTGGGGCATCATAAAGAGGAAGATGCGACAAAGACCTAAGACAGTTGAGCAACTAGAAGCCTGTATTAGACAAGAATGGGACAACATTCCTATTCCTAAACTTGAGCAACTTGTCTCCTCAGTCCCCAGACGTTTGCAGACTGTTATAAAAAGAAGAGGGGATGCCACACAGTGGTAAACATGGCCTTGTCCCAAATTTTTTGAGATGTGTTGATGCCATGAAATTTTAAAATCAACGTATTTTTCCCTTAAAATTATACATTTTCTCAGTTTAAACATTTGATATGTCATCTGTTGTATTCTGAATGAAATTTGAAACTTCCACATTGCATTGTTTTTATTCACAATTTGGAATTGTTTGGAATTGGGATTTTTTGGAATTGGGTTTGTACTACAAACACTTTTCACATAAGGCAGAATAGTTTCAATACTGTAATAAATGCTATGTCAGTTAGCACTGCATTGTTCATATACTTTATTTATTACCTGGAGATGACTTGACAAACCCCAATAAACCATATATTGTTGCAATCGTATGTTTAATGTCTTCGTTTCCAAACGTTTCTGTTTTCTGTGAAAACTGTTTTCATACAGCGATAGCTGGACGCTTTTGTCCATATTAGGGATTTCCTGGTATGACTTTCTGTGTGAGAGCACCCTCCGGCTTCGAGTATGAATGAAACATACACTACACGGAGTGTTTAGCGCTCTGTGATCAGTGTTGGGAGTAACGCATTACAAAAGTAATATTACAGTAGTATATTACTTTTTGCTGTAACGCAGTAATATAACGCATTACTAATAAAATTTGGTTAATATTATTACTCGTTACAATCTCAGTAACGCACGTTACAACATTTTCACTCAAAATTAAGTGGTGAATTTATTTGCCAACATCGCAAAACAGCACCAGACAATAAATTCCGCGGGTAAAATACTTTGTCTTTTTCCTGTTGCTGTAATTCGATGGTTGAGATGACTGAGACGGTTCTACATTTGTGAGATGGGCATACTGCGGGGTCGGAGAAGAGAGAGAATGCGGCGGAATTTGTGGAAAGCGCGTTAAGTACAAAAGCATGGTTTACATAGTAAATAATAGTTTAGCATTCAAATACATCGCAAATATAGAAACATGGATTTGTGCCGAATGATAGAGGTAGACTGCGTGAGAACAAAGACATTTGCTTTCAATTAATTAGTTTTGGCTTGTTTAGTAATTTACATTTTTCATTCTTGTTTTGTTCTGAATATGCTACAGTTAAATATAAAGGATCTGTTGTGGAGTGAGGAGAACTAAAATAGCCTATAGACTTGCTATTGTGTTTATTGCTTGTTCATTAGGGCCTATAACATTCCACTTCATTTACCGCTATTATTTCTGAATGTAATTGCGGTTTGTGCTTGAAAGTGAAAGTAACTCAAAAGTAGTGTAACGCATTACAATTCAGAGACAGTAATATTGTAATGTAACTAATTACTTTCAAACGGCAGTAATGAGTAATATATAATGTATTACATTTTGGAAGTAACTTGCCCAACACTGTCCGTGATGTTCATCTCGCCTTATTCTGGGTCCGAATAAAACATCAGATCATGCACAGACTATCCTGTCTCTTTGAATTTAAATCTATATTTATTCACACCGGCTCTTGAAAACCTCTATGCGAACACACTTGCCTGAAAAAGTGCGGGGGACGAATTTACGTGCTATTAAAAGTGGGTGGGACACGTCCCCCGCGTAATCTACGCCCCTGATTCTAACCCACCAACGCTTTTAAATATAGCCTTTGGTATATGAAACCAAACTGAATTAGGCTGTGTTAAATAAGCTTTAATTCAGTTCAGTTTAAGTACTCGAATGATTGATTCAAATTCAGTGGCTTTCAGACCTCCAGTTTTAATATAATGAGTTTTATTTTTCCATATAAAATTAAACATTATAGAGATAACCTTTTTGATCAGTTGAGGAGAAACATAAAGAGAAAAGCATGGATAAATTAGTTTAGATATGCCAGTGAGTGAGTGTGTGTGAGGAATGTGACACGAGTGTGAGATGATCAGATGAAGCACAGCTTTCAGGCCTTTTACATGATGATAATCAATGATCATTTGACCAGCAGTCTAAATAAGACCATGAATAATGCAGACACGTCGTGAAGATCTCCTGTAGATTTGTATTTTGATTATTACATGCATGTAGATAATTATCACCTACAAATGAGAATTAAAACAGAAAATGGGAACATTTTAGAATCGGTTTTATGGTGCAGCTTACAGTTAGTTTAGGTTTTGGTTAGATGACTAGAGATGAAAGCGTAACAGAGACTGCGTGGGAAAATGAGCGTTCACACGGCCAAATACATAAACTGATTTGATCAGAGTTTTAGTAGTGATATAAAGGTTTTCTGAGTCTAATTTGTGGCTCTTGTTAACAGTGCAAGACAGAACTTGCCTCCTAACCACCATCTGCTAGCCGGACAGCTTCTCTTCCAGCTGTGTAATTATCCCACACAAGCCACTCTTACAGGGTCACAAATATCCCTGCTTTAGACTGGAGGACTGGTTATCTAGTGTTCCTGAAGGTGAGAGTCTGGAATATTTTAGTGGCTTTGAAAGTTTGCTCATCTATTATGATCCCGGGTCATAAATCCCAATGACATACTGATTATACATAATTTAAATATACACATGCTACTGTACTGTGTATGTGTGATGCTGTACTTTTGTGTTGCTGTGCCAATGTCTGTTTTTTCTCTTTCACAAATATGTTTTTGAAATGAAGCCTTTAAACTGCTTCTTCATGAGAGAAAGTGACTCTCCGTGATCCTCCGTGACTGCTTTTGATCTCGGCTCAGAAATGTTCGTAAAGCTCTCTGGCAGTCATCATTCAAACTGGAATCTTACAGAATCACATTTATTTCTCCAAATAACAGACTACAGAGGATTTACTCTGTCTGAACCTATAAGTGTTGAGTCAATGTGTCTGGGATGATCCTGTGATCTCTGCTGCCAAACATGTTTTTTTCACCAGTATAATTGCAAATTTACTCCATTTATGCACAGACACATAACATATAAAGACTTGTTAGACTATCTGGATAATTGGTATGTCAACAACTGCGTGCATAGAAGAATAAAGATCCAACTCAAACTGTAGAGGTGTAATCAGTCGATTTCGCATCCAGCTGTATTGTGGCTTTAAGGCAACAGTTGCATCACATTTGCTGTTTCGTGTAATGAATGTTTGTTGTTCTGTGTCTGTTTGCAGTTTCAGCAACACATTTCAGCAGTTTCTGTGAGAAATCCTTTGTTTGCATGTGAAATACATTGTCTTTATATTTTATTGGAGTTTTTAGCTTTTAATTTAAACCCTACCCAGCATCCTCTGCTGTGGTGTCAGTATTGCACATGATTCACAGCAAGTGATAATTAATGGTGTTTACTAAAACAAAAGTCACTAATTATTACTACTACTTTGTCTTCTGCTTCCAGAGCAAACTTTAGTAAGTCTTCTCGCAGCATGTTGTGCTCTGAATATATCTCAAATTATGCACAGTAAATAACTGCCTATAAACAGCATAGAAATGCAGCTGAATTCTCTCAGATGATCTTAGCAGCTCCATATGAACAGCCTGCCGATCACTGCACAGATACACTACACTCACAGAACACGTCAGAATCCACTTATCATGCATTGATTTTTCTCTTTCCCTTCATCGAGAGATTTATTCAGAACATTTATGAAAACCAAACTTTTGTAAAGCATGACCCATTGTCTTTTATACTGATAATGAGTTCAAACAGATGCCATTAATACAGGTAATGAGTGGAGGACAGAGGAGCCTCTTAAATAAGAAGTTACAGGTCTGTGAGAGCCAGAAATCTTGCTTGTTTGTAGGTGACCAAATACTTATTTTACCGAGGACTTTACCAATTAATTCTTTAAAAATCCTACAATGTGATTTTCTGGATTTTTTTTCTCATTTTGTCTCTCATAGTTGAGGTATACCTATGATGAAAATTACAGGCCTCTCTCATCTTTTTAAGTGGGAGAACTTGCACAATTGGTGGCTGACTAAATACTTTTTTGCCCCACTGTATTACATTTGACAATGCTATTAATAATCTAAAACATTTAAATTAATGCTACTATGCTCCTATGTATCTTACAGTCACATGAGACGTAAGAATAATTACCCACAGAAACTACTGTCAGCACGCGTAAGCAAAACACCGACTGTCCATGACTGCCACGAGACTGGCTCTCACTAGGTTGAATTAATGATTACGCACATGCTATAACATGGGAAATACTTTTGATTCAGATTATGTGTTTGTGGGTATGAAGTGAAGAGTGTATAGAGGAATAAATCAAGATCAGCGTGATATAACTGTGTTTCTCATGGCTCATGTGTCACGTGTGTGTTTTATTTCAGAGTCCAATCAGAGGAAAAAGATGAAGGAATGATCTGAGAGTGAATCACCTGCTGAACACGATCACACACAAGAATGCGCATTAAATATACAATTTCTGTCATCTTTATTGTGGCTCTGGTCATCATAGAAAAGGAAAACAACATTATTTCACAGTAGGTTCTTTTCTCACTCTTCTCTGTATGTGTGACTCATGTGTGTTCAGTTTGGTGATGCAGTGGAGTATTACACTAAATTAAATAACAGTCAGAAAACATTCAAATCAAAGCTTGTCTGGTGTGTTGGTGTCTATGTGTTATTCATTTTGCTGTATACAAATGACTGTTCATGGAGAAATTCCTTCTTTGAGAAGAGATGAGACATAAAAAAACTCATTTACTTACTTAAAACTCGCATCATTTACTTGCCCTCATGTTGTTCCAAACCTATATGACTTACTTCATCTGTGGACATTTTGAAGATGGTTGGGAACCAAACAAATTTGAAAAAAAAAAATATTTTTCTTCGTGTGCTTTGCAGAAGAAGGAAAGCCGTACACATTTGGAAGGACATGAGGGATAATGAATGATGACAGAATGGTCATTTTTGGGTGAAATTACCCTTTAGCACTAATAGCTTTATCCATCCTGTGTGTAACTGTCGTACCGTTCATGCTTTCTGTCTTTTTCAGGGTGTCTGATAAACTGACCCCAAAACTGACCCCGCTGCTGCTGCTTAGCGCTTCTCTCTTGTCTGCTGCGCAACACAATATCTCGACTGACATCTCGTCTCATCAACACGTGAATCCTCATCTGGAAAACTCGACTCGGTCCATCCAGCAGTCTGCAGCCGGAGGACGGAAACACATCCTTCTGCTGGCCACGACTCGCACCGGCTCCTCGTTCGTTGGAGAGTTCTTCAACCAGCAGGGCTCCAATATGTTTTACCTGTTTGAGCCGCTGTGGCACGTGGAGCGCATGTTAACCATTGAGACCGGCGGGACTAACGCCTCGGTTGCAGGGCCGGCGTATCGAGACGTGCTGCGTCAGCTGCTCCTGTGTGACTTCTCGCTGCTGGAGAGCTTCATCGAGCCGCCGCCGCAGGATCATGTGACCGCTGCGCTCTTCCGCCGCGAGTCTAGCCAGTCGCTGTGCGAAGATCCCGTCTGCACGCCATTTGTTAGGAAAGTATTTGAGCGTTACCACTGCCGTGTGCGGCGCTGTGGTCCACTCAACCTGACGCTGGCCTCTCAGTCCTGCATGCAGAAGCAGCACCGCGTGATTAAGTCCGTCCGTGTGCGGCAGCTGGAGACGCTACAGCCGCTGGCCGAGGATCCCAGACTCGACATGACCTTCATCCAGCTGGTCAGAGATCCTCGCGCCGTCCTCGCCTCGCGCATGGTGGCCTTCTCCAGCAAGTACAACGTCTGGAAGCGGTGGGCCGTGGATGGAGACATTCCGGTGGACGAGGATGAAGTGAGGAAGCTCAAAGGAAACTGCGACAACATCCGCACATCTGCTGAGATCGGACTGAAGCAGCCGCCGTGGCTCCGCGAACGCTACATGCTAGTGCGCTACGAGGACATCGCGCGATTCCCCATGCGCAAAGCTGCAGAGATGTATGACTTTATAGGCATTCCCTTCACTGCAAAAGTGGAAGAGTGGATCTTAAAAAATACCCAGGCATCAAAGGAGGTCAGTGGAGTTTATTCCACCCAGAAGAACTCCTCGGAGCAGGTGGAGAAGTGGAGGTTCAGCATTCCCTTCAAACTGGTGCAGCTGGTGCAGAAAGTGTGCGGCCCCACTATGACTCTGTTTGGATACAAGTTTGCAGAGAACAAAGACATGCTGACTGATAAATCAGTAAGTTTGATTGAGGAGAGAACATTTTTATGATTCTACACATACTTCATGAAGAAGAATGATGAGATTCATGAAGTAATATGTGACATGATCGAAACATTAGCTGGAAAAGGAACTACTTTAATACCTTCTAAAGCAGTATTGAACAATGAAATATTATTTTATTTTTTGATAAATGGCCAGTAAGTTCATTTGACAAGTAGAAAAGATAATCAAGTTGAAGTGAGGAATTGCATTGGGACTTAGCAAGTGTCTGAAGTCTTTTTGACTGTATATACTGTACTGTATGTGTGTTTGTTTAGGGAGAAACGAGTTGCTTCTGTATGTTCAGATATTCTTACTGCAGCTGGATTGCAGAACTCTATGAACCATATCAAAAGAGGATTTAAACACTCAAAAAACAAAAAAACATTTTCATAGATTTAATATATTGTCTTATTTGACAAGGGCTCTTTGTTAGAAAAAAGTGAAAATTAATAATTTCATAATTATATTCATATTCCAGTTTGTTATGAAGAACCCATAGTCTCTTGTAATACATTATTTAAAATTTCCCTGAAGGGATTAATAAAGTTTTACTTAACCTAAAATTCATTATGTGTTTTCTGTGTTCTAAAGATTTATCAATCAAATAATAAACAGGTTCTTTAGTTACTGTACTTTGAGTGATAGCTAAGGTCTAAACATAATAAATACATATAAGCTGTAGAACATGTGACTGATGGCCGTTCTGTAGGAGCAGATTTCACATGGGCCTGTGAAAAGAGCGGAAATGAACAAAGATCTCTTTCAGAGCTGTTGCTAAAGAATCCATGAATCCACATGTGAAGGATGGGTTTTCTGAGTTTTTAAGTCTCATCTAAATCTGTGAGCACCAATTAGTGTCTACAGTCCAGGAATACACATAAACCTCAGTGATGGCCCAGAAACACTTAGTAGTACAGCATTTCTCTAACCAAATGTTTGTCATTTATGTGTGCTTTCTGTGTTTCATTCTCGTGGGTCAAGTCCACACCATGTGCTAGCACTTAGCATTGTCCTGCCTTCGAGGAGGAAGAACCTGCTTACTGTAGCAGCTTCTAATCAGCTGTTGCTTTTATTACTGTGCCGTCTGCTATTTAGAGCGCCAGTGAAACTCCAACATGCTCATTTACGCAGAACCCCTCCTGTATGTGGTGCAGAGTGATTTACTCAAACTGACCTCACCCTCCCACCCACACGCAGCTCGAGATTCATTCGCTCACCTACGTCCAGCGCTTGAGCTCAGTGTGCACAGATACGCAAGCTTAGGTGCAACATACACAATCTCAACGTTTGCTTTATGACCTACAGCCTATGTGACAAAATATGAGCATCTTGCATCAAGGAATTTATAGCACAAGGACTTTTTAAGCTTTGTGAGGTCTGAAGGAACTGCGTGGTTTGTGTGGGCTGTGTGACGAGGGTGGAGCATGTGTATATGGTCAAAGCAAATATAGAAGAGCCCAACCGCTTTCCACAGTCTCAGAGGCCCCTTTTTTCCTTGCAAGTAAAATCAGGCCATTAAGCTCCACCCTGCAAACAGACCACCACATCAGATAATGAGAGAGCCGTAGTATAAACCTCTTTGAGAAGATTAGTGCACTAAAGAACGGCTAAATTAACTGCGTTTGTTCAGGTCAAAAATATTATTTAACATCACTGAATAAGCTTATTTACATTAGGTTATACCAACAAGACTAATTTTTATGGGTTAAATCGGGTAGAAATAGCTAACAATTGTCGTAAAATATATAAAACACTTGCTGAATTATTGACTCGGATCATAATGATTTTAATTTCATCTATGCTCAGGCAGAAATAAAGAGAATGACAGCTTGGTTTGTGCTCGATGGGAATGTCTCAGAGTACTCGCATCCTTGTGAGACGTGTAGAAAAGCCTGACTCATTCACGAAAGACAGTATAAGTCAGATAATTAATAACCAATATGCTCTGCTTTAAAAGCAGTATAGAAGGAAGTACAGATGCAATCCAGATCAAATCATGTTGTACTGATAAGAACAATCGTAAGAACTACAGTCCATTTTTACTCATCTCATTCCCGTATTTGTCCTCAGCTGTACAGTACATGTCCTCAAAGCACAGGACTGGCCGGGTCTGAGAATCAAACCGTCACAGAGAGAAAATAGCCACACGTACCTGAGCTCAACTGTGACTATATAAACAACACCACTCATGCACCTGGTTTTATTGTTTTTTTTCTTTTGCAGGCTAAAACAACCTCCTCATAACGTTTTAACCAAAAGGATCAAAAGCAGTCAAAGGCAGTGGCGTGGGTCAGACTGTAAGAAAAGTCTTTTATGCATCAACATAATTTTGTTCTGTTTGTAATTGCAGTTGTGTTTACCTCCTCTCAGACATCTCAAGGCATTTTTATGGCTGCCTCCTTTTCACTTTAAGTGGCTTTGCTGTTTTTTCCTCTGTCACAAACTCACAGACTTGCTGTTTGTCTTTATGCTCAGAATAGATTTTGCTGCAAACAGTTCACATTCTTTGTGTGTGTGGCAAAGGCCACTGCCGCTGGTTGGTGTGTTAGTGGGGACTTCATGCCCACAGTCAGTGAACAGACCAGATATTGTTTGAATAACTTATTTTAGTGAAAATGGAAGCAAAAAGATTTTTTGAAACACAGGAAAAACACATCTGTCACACCCCTGTGGACTGTCGATTATGGTTTCTCCGTCTGTGTCCTTATTTGGTTGTTCCTGTTCCCATTATTAGTTAATCACCTCATTGTGTTCACCTGTCTGCCCCTCATTATCTGCCCTATAAGTTCCTGTCTCTTGTATCCTAGTGTTGTCAGTTATTGTGAATGTTACCCTATGCGTGTGCTCCTACCCTCTCGTGTAATCATTAAAGTGTTCTGGTATCCTTCATCCTCGTCTTCCTGCCTGTTCCCTGGCACAGCCAACGTGACAGAATAACTGACCCGAAAAACGAGATGACAACGGCTGAAGACAGGCTTTGGTGTCTGCGGCAGGGTGGTCGGGATTTGGAGAGGTATGTAGAGGAGTTCCTAGAGCTCTCTCAGCAGGTGAGCTGGTTGGATTCTGTCCTCGGGGTCTGTTTTCGGCTGGGGCTGGATGATGACGTCATCAGCGGTGCGGTTCCCACGTATAGCTTTCCCCTGATCGAGCTGGTTAATCAGGTCCTGTATCTGAATGGCGTTAATATGGAGGTAGAAGAAGTTGGTCTTCCTGAGTCGAGTCTAGTCACAGCTGATAGTCATGAGTCTAGTCAGATCTCAGCTGATCATCCAGAGTCACGTCACATGACGTCTGGTTGCTCTAAATCCTGTCACTTCCTGTCTGTTGCACCCAGATCTAGGACTGTTCGGCTGTATCCCAGACTGGCTTCCAGCGTGGAGGACCCACCGCTGGTGTCGGCACGGGCAGCTGGCATCCCGAAACCAGCGCTCTCTAGCCCGCCAGCCTCTGTCACGAATCCAGTCCCTCCCAAAAACCACCCTGCGGCACCAGCTCACCCCTCACCCGGACCCTCCACATACCCATCCAAAGGTTCCGGTAACCCATCTCATCCCAGCACCGTCTCTGTCCTCAGCCCAGAAGTGCGGGCTGTTCCCGAGTTAGGCCCCGGAAGGGCTCCTGTTCCCGAGTTAAGCCCACGGAGGGCTCCTGATCCCCAGGTAAACCCAGGAAGGGCTCCTGATCCCGAGTTAAGCCCACGGAGGGCTCCTGATCCCCAGGTAAACCCAGGAAGGGCTCCTGATCCCGAGTTAAGCCCACGGAGGGCTCCTGTTCCCGAGGTAAGCCCCAGAAGGGCTCCTGTTCCCGAGTTAAGCCCACGGAGGGCTCCTGTTCCCGAGGTAAGCCCCAGAAGGGCTCCTGTTCCCGAGTTAAGCCCAGGAGGGGCTCCTGTTCCCGAGTTAAGCCCAGGAGGGGCTCCTGTTCCCGAGTTAAGCCCAGGAGGGGCTCCTGTTCCCGAGTTACCCAGGAAGGGCTCCTGTGCCCGAGTTAAGCCCACGGAGGGCTCCTGATCCCCAGGTAAACCCAGGAAGGGCCCCTGATCCCCAGTCAAGCCCAGGAAGGGCTCCGGTTCCCGAGTTAAGCCCAGGAAGGGCTCCTGATCCCGAGTTAAGCCCACGGAGGGCCCCTGATCCCCAGTTAAGCCCAGAAAGGGCTCCGGATCCCCAGGCAAGCCCAGGAAGGGCTCCTGATCCCCAGGCACGCC